GCGCCCCCCGCGACCCTGAAAAGGATAAGCGGAAGCGAATGGATGGATGGATGGATGGATGAATTGAATTATTTATAACACTTCTATTCATATATTCAGGCATTTTGTGCAACCAAAATCAGGATTTGAATGCACTGTGGTGCCAGACATATTTGATTCTTCAATAAGAGCTCTGTATGAAGATCCTCTATGTGAATTAAGGAATTTCACTATTAAATGATGAAACCTAAATGATTAAACTGTGATGCAAAAAGGGATAAATGGACAAAAAAGTAATACAGGTATTGTCTGGGTCCCTTAAAAGCTCATTTTGATGACTGCGATTTTCTTGAAATGGATCTGACTTTATTAATGTGATACTTTTTCCTGAAGGACAGACAGACCTTCGTTTGTGCGATGGTATCTACACAAATCTGACGGGTTCAGCTTTGACGCGAGGATGATTGTAGTCATGACCAACCCTAATTACAGGTTCTCCTGCTGTGAATGGTGAGGAGTCCAATTTGTGAATAAGTACAAAACCAAAGGCTGACCTTTTCCTTGACATTATCAGAGATGTGATCACCACTTGCTGCCCACTGAGCTAAAATGAATAGCTAAGTTAAGGTGTTGAATTTCTAACTCTCCTTTAAAATACAAAGCTTTATAGTCATTGTAAGGTCATTATTTGGTTCCTAGTTGTTGCTTTCTGAGGGAAGAAGTTAAACTATTGCAGCAGACCATAGACAACCAAAGCCACAAATAGCTGTTAGTATAGTAAGAAATACAAAAGATGTGCAGAGTGAAGAGTGTGTGAGGGGTGTGTGACTTTCACACAACATGACTTTGTGGATGCAGTGGATGCAACAGGTGTCCGTGATGGAGGGAAGAGAGGCTCCAGTGATCCTCTCAGCTGCTCTCACTATCCGTTGTAGGGTACTGCGATCTGATATCGTGCAGTTACCGTACAGACAGTGATACAGCGTTCACGACGTTCTCGATAGTGCCTCTGTAGAAGGCGGTGAGAATGGATGGAGGGAGATGGGCTTTTCTCAGCTTCTGCAGGAACTACAGACGCTGCTGGGCCTTCTTAGTTATGGAGCTGGTGTTGAGGGACCAGGATATGTTCTCTGACAGGTAGACACCAAGGAATTTGGTGCTCATGATGACCTCCACAGAGCATCCATCAGTGTTAAGTGGACAGTGATCTCTCTGTGCTCTCCTGAAGTCAACAATCACCTCTTATGTTCTGTCCACGTTCAGAGACAGGTTGTTGATTCCACACCAGTCTGTTAGCTGTTGCAGCTCCTCTCTGTATGCTGACTTGTCGTTCTTGCTGATGAGACCCACCACAGCCATGTCATTGGTATAGGAACACTACACAGACAGTGAGGAAGGCTCTGCAAAGAGTCATAAAGTCTGCAGAGAGGATCATGGGAACAAAGCTTGCCTCCATGGACCTTCTGTACACACAACCCTGCCAAAAAAGAGCAGAGAGAATTATTAGGGACTCACACCATCCAGCTCACTCTCTGCTCAGACACAAAAACTGCACATACAGTGTGGGCCATTTATATGGATACACCGTAATAACATGGGAATGGTTGGTGATATTAAAGTCCTGTTTGTGGCACATTAGTATATGTGTGAAATACTTTGAGATGATATTAATTGAATCCTGCTCTACATTTATTTTTATTTTGAAATAACAAGATCATTCTCTCACATAACAAACAAATATTTGTAGAAATTCTGTTGGGGATGATTTGCGTGTCCACTCTGATTGTGTCTAGAATTGCTATTTCATGGTGGGCCCCATTTGATATATGGATTACAACTTGCGCAATAGTATTATGTGAATAACGAGTTGGAGAATATAGTCCTGTTTGTGGCACACTGAACCAGTTTCACGAAACTTAGCAAGCAGTTTGCTGACTGTAGCATGGGAGATGGGTGGTCTCGTAGGGTGTCTTGCATTGAAATCTGCTGCAATGACCCGGTTACTGCGTTCACCAGATATCAACACAATTTCGCTCCTCACGTGTTAACCTCTTCAACATGTCAATGGCTGTGAACAAAGAGAAACTTGTAAATAACTCATGAAAGAATAAAGTTACGTTGAAACCAAGCACACCATTGTTTTTCTTGTGACATTACCAATAAGTTTGATGTGTCACATGGCCCTCTTCCTATTGAAAAAACAAAAGTTGTATCCAAGATGGCCGACTTCTAAATGGCCACCATGGTCACCACCCATCTTGAGGAGTTTGCCCCCTC